GGCAGCTGAATAAGGGGCATCACAAAGTGGGTCCAGATTGTAGCCTAGAAGAGGGGGTTAGGGGGGCAAAGCCTCACCCCCATTGGTAGCTGTAGAATTTTAAATCAATGACAGAACCAGAAAAGGTTAGTTAGCCCCTGGAAGAATTCTTGGGAGAGGGGCAGCTGTTGTTCCCTGCAGGCTAGTCATAATAGGTATCAAGACACAGTTTTACAGTGATTAACAATCCTGTAATAATAAACCAGAACACTAAAAAATGCTGCCGAGATCATTTGAGTATCTAAATGGAGTAAATTGAAAAAAAAAATGTATTTAATAAATGTTATACTATAAATGTAAATATATATGTCTATTTTAATTTTAGGTTCAAATTAGATTTTATTTTCCCAGCATCTGTTAGGAGGGATGCCAGGTTTTGGGGGCCCTGGGTTGATCCCTTAAACATAATATAGCCTCACGCAGGAGGCCTCTTTCCCTTCATTCAATCTTTTCTTTCATTTGTTCTCTCACAAAACCACTCATTCAATCCTTTATTCTCATTCATTCCAATAATATTATTATTTAATTTAAATCATATATCAAATTCTCCAAAGCATTTTCTTATATTCATATACAAATATTGACAGTGCATACATAATTTATGATTACATTTAAATATAATTCTATTAGTACATCAGTGTTAAAAAAATGTATGAAAATAATTTTGAAAAAGATGTATGAAAATAATTTTGAAACAAATAAAGTCAGTACTCTCACTTTAGCACTTATTTAGAATAAAACACATGTACATCCAGCTGTTGACTGTAAAGATACAAAAATTATGATTTTTTTACTGTATATTTCGGTTTTCATTTCAGAAACAAAATGTGCCAAAATTTAGAGTGCGGGGGAAATTAGAGACGTCAACTTTGTGTATCACCACACCACTGAAAGGGGAGGTAAGTTTGTTAGATCACATCCTATCTGTCAGTAATGAATTGTTTTTCTAAAAAAAAATGATTATCTCCCCTACCAACATAATTATTTATTAATCTCTGAAACCTCCAATAAGGGAGATCTCCCCCATTCCACATTACCAATGAGGGAGAAAGTGCGTTAAACACGACTGAAACTGCTTTGTTCGATTTATCTTTCCCTTTTATGTATCAAGATAACTCCAAAAAGCATTCATTTGATTCAGACACACCTGTTATGATCATTATACACACTCTGCTGTAAGTAATTTTTTTTGTCGAAATGAAGGAGTCTTTCTCGTAATGAGGGAGGGTTAACAGCTATGGACATGATATATGAATTGAGGGCCCTTAGTCTAAAAACATGATATAGACATCATTTGACATGACACGTTCAGAAAGGAAGGGGCTGGACGCTGGATGCTGGGCACTGGACACCTTCCTCCGCTACTACTAACTACAGTTAATTATGTATGGTTTGTGTTAACAGTTGATGGTAGATAGCTGTGAGTCTCAGATCAAATCTATAGAGATACAGCTGGTCAGGGTGGAAACTTGTGGCTGTGCGGAGGGATACGCCAAGGACGGTAAAAAATATTTCATTTTTTCTAGTTTTTTTTACTAGAAAAAATATTTAAACCAGTAATTTTGTTTAGAGTTAAATTGATTATGATGTTAATTTATAAAGATGTGACAAAACCAGATAATTTAAAGAGAATAAGTGTCCCTATGTTAAAGAAGAAAGTTTATTTTGTGAAAATTTTGAAAATTCAACTTATACTCATCCCTCATGTGGGGCTGGGTGGACATGCATGGGGGTTCTTAATGTAGAGGAAAGTGGAATACCTTGATAAACTCCATGTGGTTCATCCTCGATACCCAGGGGTTACGCTCCCTTTCGCTCTCTACACCCCTGGAATATGTAAATGCAATATTGAAGGCACGATGATAGCTGTTTGATTGGTCTTAGGTAAAAAAGAACTGGCCAATCGCTAGGCTGATACTTGTCCTTTGAAGATTACAAAGGAGAGACGCCCAACTTCAAACCCTGTCAATTTTTACCGTTACATAACCGCGAGATTCTTTTGATGTACACCAAAGGATCAAACTAGTCTTCTTGTCTCATCCACAAGGTGACACACTCTGAGCCTTCAATATTGCTGTGACATATTCAAGGGGTGCATAGAGCGAAAAGTGAGCGTAACCCCTGGATATCGATGATGCATGTTGTCAGGCAGTTGACCCAATACCTACCTTTTCAAGTCAGATCGGGGATCGAACCCTGACGAGTGAAAGGTGAATGTGCTTTTCGCTGAGCCACCCAACCACCGACTGTTGGGTACGTGGTAGTTCTGACAGTTCCACTTTCCTTTGATGACAAAATATTTCAGTCATTAGATTAGGATGTATTATTTTACTATTTCAGCTACGGAAATACAAAATATACAGATTGCTGACGGAGACGTGTGCCGAGGTATAGCTATCCCCATACACATGGTCTTCCCGCGTCTCTTCACCTGTCCAACACTGTCTACAAACAATTTTAAAGTTGGTAAGTCTATATTTAGTAGACCACGCACATTTTTTCTCAATTCTCATTGGTTGAATCATAATCACGTGGAGGTCGGTGATTTTTGATATTGATGCGATGTTACTATTTTTAGAACCAGTACGTCAATATTCCCTTTATGACCTCGTTTCAATAGTAATGTCACAAAGCTCTCTGCCAAATGAAGCACTTTCCTCCGTACAATTTCAGCTTTCTGTGAATTGTATTGTTGCGGTAAATATTAATTTGCTAGATTGTGTTTTTTCTGTAAATATGTATAGGTATATGGTCCTAAAAACAGTTAATCCTACTTCGACTTCATCTCAGTTCATATCCATTTCTCAGGTCCATAAAACCACATATTCACCTCAACAAAAACTACCCATGATTGATAAGTGTGTAAATGCAAACATTATAAATACTCATTTTGAAAGCACATTTGGATAGAAAAGAAAAAAAATACATATTATAAATCAAACAATAGTCTGAATTGACCTGTGAGTATTAAAAAATCTCCAATAGATAGCTCACCGTCTCTGCTAACATAAATTATCATAAATTTACAGTACTGTTTGTATAGACTCAAATTGTTTTATGTGAAACAACTTCTTTCTAATGTTTTAAAGTTCAGCGTGTTCCTCCATTGGCACATGTATGTATGTGTGACAAATAACTAACATCCTTGCCAACTGTTTTACTGTTTGCTCAGATTTGACCATTTAGTGCATTGATTGAATAATTTTAAATTTCTTAAATGTGCAGAATACTTCAACTGATGTATAAGATTCACAGATTTTTTAAAATTTTATTGCTTTTTATTTCAGAGTTTGAAATTAACATTGTAATGGTATTCCACGATGACCATCTTGTGACGGAGAATTTCCCAATTAAACTGACGAGGTTTTAGTGAGCGGAGATCATCATGAATGTGTGACGTGTGTTAGAATGAATGTGTTGTAGCGATACGAAAGGACGTTTGAGTACGACTGTACTGAACAAATAGAAAAAGATAACAACTTTCTCTGTTAGAGGCAAGTAAAGGACTTGGTGCTGTGTATGACAGAATACCACAGGTGTGAAGTTTTCCTCTAAACTGAAGGCCGACCCTTTTCCATTATATAGTGTTAACTATTTGCAGTGTATCAAGAAACACAGCATCCTCGAAATCCGAGGATTTGGGTCTCGATATACGTATCATCTCTAGATCTGCGCCCCGAGAATATGTCATAACAAATTCAAAGGTTCACGTTAAGCTATTCAATTGGTTTCAGGTTTGATATTTTGACCAATCACTAGGCAGATATACCTGTCCTTTGTAGATTACAGAGAAGCTACACCCAACTTTAAAGCTTACAACAAAGATATCGGGTTAGTCTACTGTACTGTATTATTTGCTTAACCCTTTCACCCCTATATATGTAACTTTAGTTTGACTCTACCATGCATTGATATGGATGAGTCCATTATGGTCTACAGTGGTGAAATGATTTTGTCATGACATATTCAAGAGATGCACAACAGATATTTCAAATTGTATGTATGTACAAAAATGTAAGTAGGAATTTACTAATGAGAAGGGTATATCAAGGAAGATAATTTTTTTTTTTTTTTTTTTTTTTTTTTTTTTTTTAANGTAATTCGTTATTCCAGAAACCAAATTGTGAAGATTATCCAAACATGGTTCTTTTGTATATGTATTTTTGAAAGGATGTTTCATTATTACATTTCAAATATGTGCAATATAAATAAAAAAAATGATTGAAAACATTTGTGCTTTCTTGGTTTTTTAGGTCACCTGAGACAAAGTGACCTATTGCGATCGCCTTTTATCCTGTGGTGTCCGTCGTCCATCGTCTGTCGTGCATCTGTAAACAATTAACATTTTCGATTTCTTCTCCAAAACCTCTGAACCAGTTTCAATGAAATTTCGCAGAACCCTTCCATGGCCAAAGGTCAACAAAAATAGTGGCCGATTTTGTCCCCAGCCCCCAGGTGCCTGAGGGGTGGGGCCAACAAGGGTCAAATTGACTAAAATTTCAAAAATCTTCTTCTCAAGACCCACATATGGTAGAATCAAATACTCTTCATAGATGGAAGGGTCTTGAGGTTTATGGCCGTAGGGTCTCACGGTTACCCCCTGGGGAAGGAGGGGGGGGGGGGGGGCAAAATTTATTATGGTTTATAATGGCAAATGATACTGTGAATATGACATGTTAATAACTTGATTGGAATTATAACCCTGAGTTGACAGTTTGATACTTTGAAAATTTTGAGCCAGCCCTACCCCCAAGGGCTGTACGGTGGGGCCCAAAGGAGTCAGTGTGCTAACATTTCTTCATTTTCCTTGTTTAGAATCAGAGGTGCTAGTTTCAAATACTTTTTAGCCTTAAATATGTTTGCTAGTTATTGAATAAGGTGGTTTTATTGTTTTTTTTCACTTTGAATAACATTTCTGTTCGTATTAAAAACAAAATCAACTCTCTGTATAAATATATCAGGTGACCGTTAAGGCCCATGGGCCTCTTGTTTATTTTTACATCTCGGCATTGTTGAGAACTTTCGATATGTGACTTAATATAATCAGAGACATATGTAATTTATGTCTCTCATATAATTGTAGTACTTTTATGATGCAGTACTATTTTGGTCATTTTACCTTAAAAAAGCAACAACCAGAAGAAAAGTTAATGGTTATCTCGTTACCTCATTCACCCCTGGAATTACATAATGAACTATTCCAACCTTTGAATTGGAAGAGATCAAATGTGTCTTCAGTGGTGAATGAGTTAAATATACCATATATATTTCACTTGTTTGGCAGAATATACAGATTTTTGTCTTTTCTTTTTATGTTCACTCAGAGACGTATATACGTTTCTGGTTCACTATAATTACTTCCGAGCAAAAAGTAAGGAAACTGCCGAGGTTGATAAGCGTTGGGTTTATTCCCCTCTATCACAGACTTAATCTAATTCCGTGCCTCTACAAAGTATTGCCCTCACGTAAGATGTCTCTTATTCGCCATTACCCATGTATATTCACTTAGCTGTGGTAAAAATGATTAAAAAATGGCATATGAATACCGATGGTTTCATGCGTGCTTTGTACTCTTAAAACAATGTGGCGGTATTCTGATATACCCTTGAAACATGTATGGTTTTCAACGGGAAACCATATGATATCCCCTGTCTCTTATTGGACATAGAACCTCCATACTCTGCCCATGTTTTTAAACTACAAATAGAAAAAAAATTATAACTATAGTATCACTAAACTATCTTAAAATGGTCTCTACTACTATAAAAAAAAGATATGCACATATACCTATACTTGTACCTTAATAAAACAACATCATAACATATGGCTAACTGAACCGAATATTTTTGTATTGTACACTTTAAAGATAACAGTCTGCAGCATTCCCACAAAATTTCTAGACCAATCGCTATCAGAAAAAAAAAATCAGCAAAACACATTATATTGATCTTTCTAATCGTTTTGTGCATTCCTTGTTTCCAAATACTGCATTTCGTCAGTATGAGTTAAATACATTGGGTACGCTTGTTGACATCCGCTTGACATCCGGTTTGAGCGACAAACAGAATTGATAAAAACTTCCATAGGAGAGGTCGTTGATTTACAAACACTTCAGCCCAAGGAGCGGTAAATCGCTGGTGCTGCTATTTCGCCTCTGATCGAGTTAGTTTCCGGTGCCTTTTACGAAACTTACTACGTTTTTATATCCGCAGGGAAAAGGAGCTACGTACAGTAATCAAGGGCCTTATTAAGATTTTCTCCGGTGGCTATTGTCAGCTTCGGTACCTAGTGTTTGAATTCCAGGCTTGAAGGCAAGTGCAGCAGTTCCAACATCAATGTGAGTGGTTCTAAATCATTAATAATTGATATTAATATCGTACATTTAATAACCATATTAATTGTGTAGCTTGTTCATTAATCAGCACAAAGAAATTTAAATATGGCGAAAGGTTAACGAATATTTCTGAACCAAGTACATTTCCTAAACTTCAGTTTTACCGTAAAAAACAATTATCGAGGTTCTTTAAGGAATATGTCCTTAACTCCTGATTTCCCCTTACTCTTGTAATACATTCCTAATATCAACGACATTGAGGAAATTTCTTGAGTTAAGGATATTTCGTTAAATTTGTTCCTGAAATTTTATGCTGGTTGACCTGTGAACTTATTTCATTCTTCCTGTTACATGTATTTAATTTGAGTAGTAGTGGGGTTCATATATACACATACTTTATTCATTATCAATTTTAATTAACCTGTATTCACCATATGTTTTGAGATGTATAATTCAAGGGTTTTACGACCTCATCTTCTGTTTTAACAGCAGTTTAGACCAATTTCGATTTCCATCTTTTTGGTCGTTAGCATACATACATATGTATATCACTGACGTTATCGGTTTGGTTTGGTTTAGTACTATCAACAGCTATGGCCATTTAAGGACGGCCTCTCCTGTGTGCAAGGTGCATGCGTGTAGTGTATGCGTGTGTGTTTCGGGAGGCTGCGATATGTTCGTGTTTGTCTCCTTATGATAGCGCGGCACTGATGCGGCCTTACAGTGCTACCTCACTGAAACATACTGCCGAAGACACCCAGCAGAACACACCACCTGGTCACATTATACTGACAACGGGCGAACCAGTCGGCCCACTCCTTAATTTCTGAGCGTTAAGCAGGAGTAGAAACGTCTCGGCCAGGGGACAGAACCCAAAGCCTTCCTCACAGGGGCGAACGCTCAACTAAAGCCCAAAAGTGAGGCATTGTCAAGGGAGACATTAAGAAGAAGAACGTTTTTTAGAAAGAAGAGAAAAATATAAGATCCGAAATTTAGTCGCCTCTTACGATCATGCAATGGGGGCAGGCAGCAGGTACAATTCTTACACCCTACCTGCAGGGACTTATCATTGACGAGTCCTAGAAGGACGAAACAGTTGTATGGTGCAGTGCCATTTAGTTTGTGCATACTGTACGTATCTCTTACAAATAATATAGGTACACAATATGTGTTCGTGTCTTACGTCCAGTTTTAATGATAAAATGTACAAATAATAATTTGTCCTGGTATGCAGATGATAATTCATTTCCTATTTTATTGACATTTTTGCGTGTAGTTACCTGTACAATCAATATAAAACGTGCCGTATAGGATAACGCTGTACAGGTAGCTAACGTCTGCCGTGCACAAACAACATGTCGACCTGTAAACACTACACGTTAATATCTCTATTGACAGTTTCCTACGTCAATGCATCCTTGTTGATATTTTAATTTACAGCTGACTTCCCTATTCAAACAACATATCAGATAAAGGAGGATTTTTTTGAAAGACGGACTCTCCTGTTCGGCACACCTGCATCTCACCTATGTACCCATCAGATATCAGGTAAATATTTCAGCTCTGGGTTTTTAGTGGAAACGAGAAAAACAATTTCCCGGATATATTGATAACACGTACCAAAGACACGACAGAGCTCTGATGATAAAAAATGTCTTGTGTAAATACCGTTTTACGACACAAGGCAAATCCTTTTTTTTTTTTTTAAATAAAGTTAGATCTCGTTATACTGCCACCATGTCTCAAAGTAAATTTGGCGTTATGAAGGGGTTTGGTGATACATTGAGGGAAAAGTGTAACGAAATTCTTAAGGGAATTTTGAAATATGGTTGCGGTAAACGAGCTGGCAAATGAAACGGAGGCATTAGATCGGGGTTTAGCTGTATATACATTCCAATTTATTGCCAATGTGTAATGTTGTAAATACTGTTTAAAATCCCAGCTAAAAATAATTTCCGTTACTTCAACTTATAAACACATATTGTAAAATTGGAAATTTTCGTGGTGCCTAAATCCTCGCGTTTTTTTTGCGTTGAATAATCTAACGCGAAAAGACCAACACGTGCATATTTATTGATATATTATAGTTATGTAGAACATATAAATCTAATAACCATTGCCTAAGGTTCGGCATTGCAATCAGTTTAAAGAGTCGTAGTGCGAGAACTTCCACTTTTACGGAAGTTATTGTTAATGTTACAAGCGAAAGTATTTAGAAAAGAATACCTCACCAGAGTTATTAATACCCCGCATTGGATGTGTATGTTTTGTGTATACATCCAGTATGCCATTCAAGCTTATGTTTAATTTCACTACTTGTATGCTAATGTATTCTCAATATTATAATATGTTTTAAAACTGTCATAAACGATAGGTGACTATAATATATAGCTCGAATTGGTGAATGCTAGCTGTGAGCACCGGCTGTAGCTGAGAAAGATACTAGTGGCTGGTTGCAAAGGTCCTATAACCACGGATAATAATTTGTGAAGCAAAAAAAAAAAATGATTTGCTCAGAATACAAAAATACTAATCTTTGTTGTATAATGTCATGGTGATACATGTACACTGTGATACAATATACGTAAATGTTCAACCAGGGTTTAAGAGGTAACTAAAGTAATTACATCTAATTCACACGCATATTTGGACACGTGTCAATGTAAAACGACACATGTGTATGTTTTGTTCGAGTCGGGACACACGTGTGCTACTCAAGCGTGATTTGCTTTCACCTTTTGACAGATCATCCTCGATATCCAAGGGTTACGCTCACTTTTGCTTTCTGCATCCCTGGAATATGTCATAGCAAAATTGAAGGCACAAAGGTAGCTGTTTGATTGGTGTCAGGTAAAAAATCCTGACACTAGGCTGATACTTGTCCTTTGAAGATTACATAGGAGCAACTCCCGACTTCAAAGCCAGTATGTTTTACCGTTACGCGACCGCGAGATTCTTTTGATGTACATCAAAGGATCAGACTAGTCTTCTCGTCTCGTCCACAAGGTACTACACACCGAGCCATCGATTTTGCTATGACATATTCCAGGGGTGTAGAGAGTGAAAGTGAGCGTAACCACTGGATATCGATGTTGACAGATGAATCGCTCTTTAACACCTGTGTAACGAAGCATGAAACACTTCCCAATACTTCCGTGATATGTACAGAATGTTAACACTTTACAGTTTCTCTATGTCATCGTCTTAAATTTCTGATATCCATATTTATATAAATCAAAATCGTATACAAGATGCTTAAGGCAGCTGACGTTTTATTGTGATGTCATAGTTAAAAAGGGTTAATATGATAAAGATTTTTTTTAAAATCCACATAGTTCAGAACCAAAATAATGCACCATAATAAATATATGGAAAAGAAAAGTAAAGTCTGTTATAATTTCACAATGCATTTGAAAGCAGATGTGTAAGAACGACAACAAAGAGTTTCTCAGAAGCTCCCTAGCGATTTCAACTCTTTATATATATATATTCATCCGTGGGAATACCTATTCTCCTCTAATGAACATTTAAAGAGTACAATGTACTTTGGGTGTCTTTGTTGTATACGTAGATATGTATATATAACTGTGTCCTGTAATAGTAGAACACATTTGGTTTGCATAATTGCATAAATTATTGCATAAATACTTCACAAAAGGAATGTACGCAAGCTATCACAACTTATCGATATCCTCTCCGTAATACAAGTACACATATGCAAAACTAAGCGATGGCCTAATAATAAATAGCACTTAATATATTTCACATAGTATGAGAAAAGCAGCAGAAAAGGACAATAGAAAAAGAGTCAGAGATCAGAAAGAAAAAAACAGATACTGATAGATGATTTAAGTATCACAACAGCTATGTATCGATGACACTATATATTGACAGGCAGTCACTGTTTATGTATATTTTAACTAGTAGATCTCTGTTTTTATTTCTTTAAATATACAATGAATGATTTTGTTTGATTTTCGTTATTTCTATCCTAAAAAAATCCCAAACCTATAAATAACAATGATGACGGGGTGTATTTTCCATCCCCAGTACGGAGCGTAGAATATGTTGACCAAATAAATGTCATAGGGCTATGAATGCTACCCGATTGCAAATAACCAGAAATGAAAATAACAAATATTGACACAGTAAAATATTGTAACAATCAATGTAATGACGTGACATTATTGACCTTAATTTCAATATTTTGGACGCCGACTTGGAGTTGTACTGCCCTTAGATCTGGCTTGTAATAAAGAAAATATACCAGAAATGAAACTTAAAAAACCCCATTACGAAATGATATATAACAACTGATTTAATGACATGTTTTATGGTACATTCAACATTTATGGATGACAGCGTGGAGTTGTATTGCGCCATATGTCTAAAATCATTTACATGTTTGCTAAACTTGCCATACTTTTAAATGCATTGTCATTTGCTAAAATGTACGAATGAAATCAGTTTACAAATCCATGCATAACATATTATTAGAATGCTCGTATTCACTGTTGGTAGTATACAAATCTGGTTGGCTATAAAACCAACCAGATTTCTGTTTGGAATAATTCATTTTTTTCAAACAATACGTCATATTCATGTGTTTGGGTACAAATGTACGAAGGAAATGTAACTTCGTACACTCCATATTATCAGGAATGTTAATTATGCACTTATTTTTCGTAGAATATTGCGTTATATCTGGATCAAAACCCATTACACTTTGGAGTTTGACCATTCAAGACGAAATACTTGTATCAAATAATAATTGCTAAACAAATAGCTGAATTTTGTGTCTTTTTATGTTTTACTGGTGTTTCGTTGACTTTGGATTAAAACAGTCTGGTAGGTTAGGTTATTTAAAGAAAAGCATTCATGTGTGAAATGTAGCCTATAAGCTGGGGCGTTTTGTTGGTGTATCATGTGTGACGTGGCACATTTCTTTAAATACACGATGAATGATTTTGAGTGATTGTCGTTATTTCTATCCTAAAAAAATCCCAAACCTATAAATAACAATGACTGCGGGGTATATTTTCCATCCCAAGTACGGAGTATAGAATATGTCGACCAGATAAATCTGATAGGGCTGGCGATGAATGTCACCCGATTGCAAATAGATACATTAAATATACCGGAAATGAAAATAACAAATATTGACATAGCAAAATATTGTGACAATCAATGTAATGACATGGCATTATTGACCTTAATTTCAATATTTTGGACGCCGACTTGGACTTACTGCCCTTAGATCTGGCTTGTAATAAAGAAAATATACCAGAAATGAAACTTAAAAAACCCAATACGAAATGATATATAACAACTGATTTAATGACATGTTTTATGGTACATTTAACATTTATGGATGACAGCGTGGAGTTGTATTGCGCCATATGTCTAAAATCATTTACATGTTTGCTAAACTTGCCATACTTTTAGATGCATTGTCATATGCTAAACTGTACGAATGAAATCAGTTTATAAATCCATGCATAAAATATTATTATAATGCTTGTATTCACTGTTGGTAGTATACAAATCTGGTTGGATATAAAAATAACCAGATTTCTGTTTGGAATAATTCATTCTGTCAAACATTACGTCATATTCATGTGTCTGGGTACAAATGTACGAAGGAAATGTAACTTCGTACACTCCATATTATAAGGAATGTTAGCTATGCACTTATTTTTCGTAGAATATTGCGTTATATCTGGATCATAACCCATTACACTTTGGAGTTAGACCATTCTAGACGAAATATTTATATTAAAAAATATTTGCTGAACGAATTGCTGAATTTTGTGTTTCTTTATGTTTTACTGCTGTTTCGTTGACTTTGGATTAAAACAGTCTAGCAGGTTAGGTTATTTAAAGAAAAGCATTCATGTGTGAAATGTAGGCGTATAAGCTGGGGCGTTTTGTTGGTGTATCATGTGTGAAGTGGCACATTTCTTTAAATACACGATGAATGATTTAGAGTGATTGTCTTTATTTCTATCCTTAAAAAAAATACCAAAGCTATAAATAACTTTGATGACTGCAGGGTGTATTTTCCATCCCTGATACGATGTAGAATATGTCGACCAGATAAATCTGATAGGGCTGGCGATGAATGTCACCCGATTGCAAATAGATACATTAAATATACCAGAAAAGAAAATAACAAATATTGACACAGTAAAATATTGTAACAATCAATGTAATGACATGACATTATTGACCTTAATTTCAATATTTTGGACGCCGACTTGGAGTTGTACTGCACTTAGATCTGGCTTGTAATAAAGAAAATATACCAGAAATGAAACTTACAAAAACAACATTACGAAATGATATATATCATCTTATTTAATGACATGTTTTACTCTACATTCAACATTTATTGACGACAGCATGGAGTTGTATTGCCTTTGAATATGGTTAATATTGCATATCAAATTTATGTGGTGGATAGTCCTTGGTCCAGTTGTTCACTGTGTTCCTGAGGACTAATCTTTACATATTTCGTGATCCGCAGTTAGCCGTGCATGGCTAACACT